ATGACACAGGGCAGCAACGGTAGAACACCAACCCGAAAGGGGTGATGGGTATATGGGGAGCAACAGAAAGCGAACCTGGAGGATGGAAATTTGGAAGGAAGGCGAGGACGCAGATTAGCCATTAGCCTTTCCCTGGCACCGCTCTCGCTCGAACATTCCTCGCAATTCGACGTTTGGAAACCGACGGTTTCAATTTCCGCGCTTTCAGTGGGCGTCACTTTCCCCGAATAGGGCACCGCTGGGCACGACGTCACAATTGACGCCCCGAAGATAGCAAACCCCAGCTGCTTCTCATATGACGGGGGGAGGGGAGGGGAGTTCTAACTTCAGAAAAACAACACACCAAGGATCACGAGGCGCATGGCTACGCTGGGTCGCCAATGTGGACCATGGGCCCCGCATTACATCCACATACTTTGCGGTGGTGTTCGGGGTGCAAATTACCCCCCCATTGTTCAGACGGCTTGATCTCGCCCGCGCGGTCATCGCGCACGGGGTAACATGGCATGACTCCTGCCCCGACGACGCGGGCGCGAAAACGGGAATGAAGTTTGGCATTGAGACAGTACATTGGGAACGCTTCAATTCTAGCAACGTTGCAAGGATGTATCTCGGCGAAACAATGACACGGCCATCACACCATATGCTTGCCACATTGGTTACCACATCAGCAGTTCCCCTGTCGTCCGCACTCTCTCTATTTGAATAAAGCAAGGAAGATTGTGTAAAAGTGTGTTCAAGCATATGCGAAACGTGGAACATAATAATGCTACCCGAAGTGGTTTTCAAAACAACTTTAAAACAACTTCAAAACAACTTTTCTGAAAAAACATAAAAGAACTTTAAACCAACTTTAAAACAACTTTCCTGGTTTGTCAACATGAACACCCCTCTCCCAGGCATCGCTGAGATAAGAATAGGCTGGGCTCCGCGGGAGTATAGGCCGGATCAGGTACGGTACCTTCCTGGTGCTCGGAGTTTCTCCTGGTGGTCAAGGCCAAAAAAGTGGGTTGGAACATCATGAGGCTTGAGCGGGAGTGCACCCTGCGAGATGCTTAAGACATCATGGGTTAAGAAATTCATAGTCTCAGAATTTGACTAAAACCCAAAATTTCGATTGAAGTCTTAGGATTTTCATTGACACATTAAGAATCATCGAGACTCTGGCCGAAAATACAGTTTTCTTAAGCATCGCCTATCGGGAGCGGCCAAGAGGGGGGTGTCCAAGAGGGGGGGTGCAAATCATGGCCGGCGGCATGTGCGCGGACCAGCGGGGGGACCAGGGACGTACTGAAATAAGAAGAGGCGCCATGAGATCTGGGGAAATATCATGGCTCCCGCCATGATATCCACCCCCCCTAGTCATCACCCCCCTCTTTTGAAGGGAAACTGGGACACACAAATAAATACACACAAATAAAAACATCCCCCATATTTTCCTATATTTTCTGGGTTTTTGTCTTCCCCACCACTTCCCATATTTTCCCATATTTTCTGGGGAATGGAGGATTAATTGTGTCTGTGTGTTTCTTTCCCTCCTGATCTTTGCCGCCCCCGAGCCTAGGGAGTAGGCCCCGAGCCCCCCTCGTGCCCCCGCCTCGGCGCACGGGGCGGCATCGCCGGGGGCTGCGAAGAGGTGGCGAGGAGCAGCGGCCTCGGGGAAGGGGGAGGAGGAGGAGGAGGAGGAGGAGGAGGAGGAGGAGGAGGAGGAGGAGGAGGGATAAGGAGGGGGAGGAGGAAGGAGGAGGGGAGGAGAGGAGAGGAGAGGAGGAGAGGGAGGAGGAGGAGGGGGAGGAGAGAAGGAGGAGGGGGCGGGGGGAGGAGGAGGAGAGGAGGAGGAGGAGGAGGTGAGGAGGAGGAGGAGGAGGAGGAGGAGGAGTCGAGGGGCCTGGGTCATGGGAGGCCGGGCCTGCTCGCCCCCCTCGGGTGGCCAGGCGACGACGACGACGACACAAGACTGCATAACTGGAGTTCGAAGACATGAAAACGGCTTAAGTGAGCGTTCTCTTTTTGTTGAGGGAGAAGCTGGGAGCGGACCGCAAGATTCAAGAACCACCGTCGAAACGCGAATGCCGGCTTAAGTGCGTTTTCTTGTATTCGGCGTTGCGACGTTGGGCGGAAGGGGGGGAGAGGGGGGGGGGGGCTCGGGGCCTCTGCTTGATGCGACTGTTCGGAACAGTGCGCCCCATGGGGGAGACTCCACCCGCTCGAAACAGGCGCAAAAAAAAACAGCAGATATCTACTCCGTACAGGGGGGAAGGGAGTGCGAGGACCCGCGCCGATCGGCAAAACAATGAATAAGGAAACGATCACTAAACAATCTTCGTTTATAAAACCCCCCCCCTCAGGTGGCCAGGCCTGGGAGCCCCCGCGCTGCCCCCGACAGCAGCCGGCCGCGGCGGGCGGGCGGGCGGGCGGCCGCGGCGGCGGCGAGCGGCGGCGAGTGGCCGCCCCCCTTGGGTGGCAACTCACGATGGGAAGCCTCCCTCCTCCTCCTCCCTCCTCCCCCTCCTCCTCCTCCTCCTCCTCCTCCTCTTCCTCCTCCTCCTCCTCCTCCTCCTCCTCCTCCTCCTCCTCCTCCTCCTCCTCCTCCTCCGCCTCCGCCTCCGCCTCCGCCCGCTCCCGGAGTGCCCTCGCGGAGTGCCCTGGAGCTCTCGGAGGTAGCGTCCGGAGGCACCAGGGCAGCTTCTGGAAACCGAGGCAGGCCACCGCAAGCTCCGACCCAGGCCCCGGGAGTCTCTGGGCAGACTGAACACCACACTCTTGGAGGTCCCTGAAGTTGGAGGCCTGGAAATGGGCACCAACACCAAAACAGGGGGGTGCCTCCACAGGGGGAAGATGATCCCAGATTTCGGTGCTGGTGGTAATGTTTCCGTCACCTTGGAAGCCAGAATATTACCACCATCACCGAGATCGGGATCTTTTTCCCTCGGTGGAGGCACACCGCCGATCTTGGTGTTGGTGTCAACCTCTGGGCCTGCGATGAAGGACCCAAGTATTCGGTGGCAGCTCACGGGAGCCTCCTACACCAGCTTGCCCGCTCTTGCGAGTCGACGCTGGCCGACGCCAAATCGACGCGAGCCGACGCTGGCCGACGCAAGTCGACGCTGGAGACGGATGAGCATCGTTGAACCGATCCCCATCCCCAGCAGCGTGGCCTGGGCCCCACTGGCCGATGTACCCCCCTAGATTGGGACATAGGTCGTTCCCTTCGGGTTTCGATGGGTGCATCACCAACTGGGGTGATCATTTGGCGGGGGTCTCGAAAGGGACGGCGATGGGGATGGGGATCGCTTGAACGATGCCGAACGGAATCAAGAGGGCGTACCATTTGGAGGCCCGAAATGGGCACGGAAAAATGGGTACAATGCCCAACAACAAATGTTGTCCCAAACCAACAGCGGCCGCTGTTGGGCAGGCGGCCTCCTGTCTCAAACAGACACTGGCCGCGGCGGCGTGGACAGCGAGTCCAGTTCAAAATGAACAGGAACTGCTGTTGGGATTTGTACCCATTCTTTCCGTACAGTCGGGGCGTTGACCTAAGGAACCCTAGATAAGGAACGAGGCCCCTTTTTTTCCATAAGTTGAACTTCGACTTCGTACCGAAGCCATAAGGAACATATGAGGCAGGCTGCGAAACAATTCAGGAGCACGGAGCCCCTCCCCAACGAGAGGGGCTCTTTCTTCAGGGCCCCGACTGTACCCATGTCGGTCGCCCCGATAGCATAAAACAGGGCTAGGATCGGGATAAATCGCTCCAAAGCGTTCCGGAGCGCTCTCAGAGCGCTCCGGAACGCTCTGGAGCGGCCGCGGCGCCCAAGACCTCCTCCAAACCCGCCGATCCTCAGAGATTTCGAGTTATCCCGATCCGATTTTGTCCCGATCTTCGCGTCGTTTCATGTCGGTCGTCCCGATAGCAGGCTTGGACGCCCGAGTTATCCGGGGTAACTCGGGTCCAGGGTAACTCGGGTTTGGGTTCCCGGAAAACGAACCCGAGTTAACCCTGACCCGAGTTATCCCTGATGATTCGGGGCTCTGGACGCCCGAAATATCCAGGGTGACTCGGGTCCGGGGTAATTCGGCTTCGGATTCCCGAAAAACGAACCCGAGTTGTCCCTGACCCGAGTTACCCCTGACGACTCGGGGCTCTGACAGGCCCCGTGATCTGCCCTCGAACGCCCCCCGTGCAGGCCGGCCGGCGGAGGGGGGCCGCGAGCTGCGGGCGCGCCGCGCTCCTTCCACGCCTGCTCGCGGGCATCCTCTTTCGGGGCCGCGGCGGGGCGCGCGGGGCGGCGGCGGCCACGTCTGAAGGGGCCCTGGGACACACAAATAAATACACACAAATAAAAGGATTCCCCGTAGTCGGATAGCTTCTCTGCCTTTGCCTTCCCCACCACTTCCCACATTTTCCCATATTTTCTGGGGAATGGAGGATTAATTGTGGCTGTGTGTTTCTTTCCCGAACGTCGGGGGCGACGAGGACAAAAATTCGGGCGAGGACGCACTGAGGGCTTCAAGGAGGCCCCAGGATGAGGGCTCCAAGAGGCCCCCCAAGCGAGCCCCAAGAGGCCCAAACCACCGATTCCGCTCGGGCTCTGGAAGGGCACTGGCGCTGTCGCCTTCCCGGCCTCCGACCGACCGAGACGGCCCAAGACGGCCCATAGATCGCCCCAAGACGGCCCAACGGGCTCCGAAGAGGTGCCTCAGACGGTCCAAGTTTTGAGGCGGAGCCAGGACGAGGATAAATTCTGGTGGGAATGCATCGAGCATCTCTGAGATCCTGCTGCTCTGGAGGATGTCTCGGGCGCCGCGGCCTTTTCAGAGCGTTCGGGAACGCTCCGAGCACCTTCCGGAACGCTCTGGAACGGATCTGCCCTCGTCCTGTCGGGGGGGGAGGGCGTCCAAGAGGGGGGGGGGCGCAGCGCATGGCCAGCGGCACGTGCGCGGCCCAGGGGGGGGGGGGCCAGGGACGTATTGTAATGAGAAGAGGCTAGGGGGCAAACAAACCTACCTCGCTTTTGACCACCCTCGCTTCCAAGGGATACCAAGCGATGCCTTTCTACGGCATGTACTGGTCAGGCCGCTTGACGAGGAGGCGTATGGTACAGCTTGGTTTTGCCTGGAAGCGAAAGCGGGGTAGGTAATTCACGCTCTGAGAGGCGCCACGAGATCTGACGATGCCACGGCCCTCGGAGACGAGAGTCAAAACGGATGATGCAAGGCTGCGCGATGAGGCCGCAGGAGCGCGCAGAGTTGGGCAGACCTTGCGTTCGCGGGCGCATCATGTTGGAGCTCGGCGCCATGGCGCGAACGACCCAGAACGCGGGACACCTTGGGCGACATGGCCTCTGAACTCGCCCCAGATGCCTCCACGACGGCCCGAGGTGGCCCGATGGGCCTCAAGATGGCACAGTGAGAATCAAATGCGTGCCCGAAGGCCTCCACGAAAATTCCCGAATAGTGTCCAAGAGGCCAAATACGTAGGTTTCCTTCTGGTTTCGACGGAGTCATGATTCCTCGCCCTCTCGGGCTTCCGGCAGGTCATGGCGACCCAAGCAGAGCCCAAGATGGCCCCACGACGGCCTAAAGCAGCCTCAGGATGGCCCACGGGGTCCCCAAAACGGCCCCAGGGACGGCTCCGCATGGCCCGAAGACGGCCCAGCCTGGAGGGGCCCAAGGACACACAAATAAATACACACAAATAAAACGATCCCCCATATTTCCCCATGGTTTCTGGTTTTTTGTCTCCCCCCCACTTCCCGTATTTTCCCATACTTTCTGGGGAGTCGAGGATTAACTGTGTCTGTGTGCTTCCTTTCCTCCTGACAGGCAGGCTCCCAGGCGGCCCGCAAGTGCTCCGCCGTGGCCCCCAGACAGGCCCGCAGAAGGCCCCCCAGGGCAGGCGCCGGGCGCCGCCAGAACGCCCCGAGGCGGCCCCAGGCGTGCCCCAGGACGAGGAGGAGGAGGAGGAGGAGGAGGAGGAGGGAGGAGGAGGCGGAGGAGGAGGAGGAGGGAGGAGAGGAGGAGGAGGAGGAGGAAGAGGAGGAGGAGGGAGGAGGAGGAGGGAGGAGGAGGAGGAGGAGGAGGAGGAGGAGGAGGGCTCCCCTCCCGCTCCCCAGGCAGGCCCCCGAAACCAGCGAGGAGCCACAAGACGAAACCCGGGCGGCTCCTCCGCCCAGTTGTTTGGTCTGGGCACAGCGGCTACATGCAGCCCGCATACGGTCGGCGCGCGCAGAGGTTTCTGACACCGCACCGATCGGTCAACCTTGAATCGATCGTGGCCCCGATCGTTCAAGGTTGAATCCAGGTCTAGGGGGCCACATGCGAACCCTACCCCTACCCCCCACGATTTCTGAGGGGGAGGGTGGGGTTCACTTCGCTCGAGAACTCACGAACAAAGTGAACCCCACCCTCCCCCTCAGAAATCGTGGGGGGTTAGGGGTAGGGTTCGCATGTGGTCTCCTACAGTCGGATCCAGTGGCTTTACCGCGTCCATTGATGCATCCGCGTCGCAGAATCCAACCCTGAACGCCTTCGCCCGCGTCGCCGGCGCGCCAACGCCGCACGGACCTGCCGTGCTCCGATGATGGTGGGCGAGGCCGCCGTGGGGTGTCAGCCGGGGGGGGCCCCGGTCCGCCCCACAGCTACGCGGGAGGCCGACCAACCCAACAGTCGGGCATGTCCCCCTGCAGGCGGATCTTGGAAGAAAAAAAGAAAATAGCCCAACTATATATATATATATTAAAAATAAAAAAATTTAAAAGAAAAAAAATTAAAAAAAATATATATATATATATATATATATATATCAATATATGTATATATAATTATTTTTTAATAATATATATATATATTATATATATATAATATATATATATATATATATATATTATATATATATATATATCATTTTTTTAAAAATAAAAAAAAAAAAAAAAAAAAAAAAAAAAAAAAAAAAAAAAAAAAAAAAAAAAAAAAAAAAAAAAAAAAAAAAAAAAAAAAACGTCCACTGAACATTTTTTTGCGATGCTTGAATATTCCTCCTGTAGAGGGACAGACCCGACTTAACCCAACACCCCCCCCCCGACTACGGGGGGCCAGGCCACGGCGGCCAATTCCCCCTCTGGTGGTTTCCCCAGCAGCTAGGGGGGAAGAGACAGTCCACCAGCGCGGCCGCACTCTCGGGCCAGCAATTCACGACACGGGCGCTGCCTCAAGGCAGGGAGCAGCGTCGCCTCGACGTAGGCGCGTCTTCGATACACACGTATGTGTGTATATATATAGAGAGATGATATACACGTATATATCCTCCTCATCATCATCATCATCATCCTCCTCCCCTCTTTGTGTCCCTCCTCCTCCTCCCTCCTCCTTCTCCTCCTCCTCCTCCGCCTCTCCCTATCCGTCCGTCCTCACGCCTCATCCTCCTCCTCCTCCCCTCCTACCTCCTCCTCCTCCCCTCCTCCTCCTCTCCTCCTCCTCCGCCTCCTCTCCTCTCCTCCTCCTCCTCCTCCTCCGCCTCCTCCCCCCCTCCTCCTCCGCCTCCCCCTCTCCTCCTCTCCTCCTCCTCCTCCTCGCTCCTCCTCCTCCTCTCCCTCCTCCTCTTGCCTCTTGCCTAACTGCGCGCCAGGATCCTCTAACAGGTGGCGCTGTGAGAGCTCTATGGCTCTGGGAAGATTACAGCACGTGGGGGACCGAACTCATCTGGCTGGGGCCACTGCTTATAATCCTTGGGAAGCTCCCCTCGTTCGAGGGTCTCAATCATTCTCTTGCCATGTGTAGACAAGCCTCGCTTCGTCAAGCACGGTTGGCTTAACTTCTGGAAGGACACTGCTCCAGCACCTCCACAAGACCGACACCAATAAATGCCTCTGAAGGTCATCACCTGATGGGACCTGTGGAGCTGGACTGGGAAACCTCTGCACTGCTGGGCCAACCAAACGGTTCGGGGAAGAACCGAGGAGGGAGAAAAGAGGCAGCGGGTGCAGCGGAGCCTGCCACGTTCATCTCGATGAACGCTGTGGGACGAAAAACCGACGGCAGCTGACAACGACTCCCGCCTCCCCTCCGCCCGCCGCTTGGCCTCGTGCTGCCTGTCGGTCTCGGCGCTGGCACCGTATATCTCTGGGGCCTGGCGCGCAACATGATCGGCTACAATCAGGAGGTGGGCCTGCACGCTCGCCGCGAGCGCATGGACCCTAAAAATCTCATTAAGATCTTCCTGAGGCAACTGGGCGGCTCTCGCTCCCTCCTCAGCACACTGGTCAGCAACTGCATTCGCAAGCCAACTCGCTGGGGGAACCTCGGCTGCCTCTGCCTGTTCAGGGGTCATGTGAGACGCGATCTTCTCCACTGAAACCTGGCGGCCCTGGGCGAGGTCCCAAAAAGTTGCCCAGAGCCGCTGGTTTATTAAATGCTTCCGACTGGGCCCCTGGAGGATTCCGTCGACAACATTCTGAGCATCGATCACAAAATGCACTGGTCCACTGGTTCTCTCCAGTGCCTCGATCGCTGCTGACAATTCTGCTATGGGGACGGACTGCTTCCAATAACCTACTGGGCCGCACGCCCACGCTGCTACTTCCCATCCTCGAAGGATGGCCAGGCCCCACCCGCAACGACGGATCCTGAAGTCCTCGTGGTACTTACCTCCAGACCCGTCAGTTGCTACTATGCAGGTCTGGTCCAGATCAAAAACTTGCTGCTGGGTGAGCTCTCCTCCTACTCGCGGGCTTCCCTGAATCGGGCGAGCCGCGAACGGGTACACCCACAACACAGGCACCAGGCCCCGAAGCCAGAAACAGGGGAAATCCTGGACCCCCTCCTTGGCCTGACTGGAAAGCTCACCGTGCAACCCCTCCAGGGCATCGTTTCCTGGGCACTCCCAGAACTGGTGGAATAAAGTTTCCTGGGGGGGGGCCCGCACCTGGGGCAGGCAGGGCTCGTCCAGGCGGGGCGACAGGGGCGGCAGACGACCTGGGATCCAGGCTCAGCAGGTGCCTCAAGCTCCTCTGGGGGATCTGGCCAGGCCTGCTGCTCCTCCCACTGGGCCTGCTCCAACATCTGTTCAAACGATAAACCGTCCTCCTCCTCCTCCTCCTGATCCTGCTCCTCCTCCCTACCCTGCACTGCTGCTGGAGCTGACGAGCCTGAGCTGATCGACTCCTGCGCTGGTGCTGGCTGAGGGGGCCGGGCGGTGGGGTCAGAGGACGAATTAGGAGCCAAGGGGGGTGGACGGGTGGCCTCTTCCCCGAACCTGCGGCTTGCTGGCCACAGTGCTCCTGACAGTATCATACGAAAGACCCCTAACTGATCATACTTGCCCTGACTGCGAAGCTTCCGCATTCGGCATTTGTTGATATACAAATCTGGACCGTGTTCTAGGCCCTTGCCGTGGTTATGCTTGGCTGCCGTCAACCACGCTTGCTGATCCAGAGCGCCATAGAGCTCAAAATGCACAATCCTTTCTGGGTCATCAAGCTCAAGGTTGAGGTGATCTCCATCTGGTTGATCCATTCCCAGGGCGAGACCGACGAGAAACCGAGATCTAGCAAGGCTGCTACTGTGGCTGACAGTGTTCCTTTCACTCGGCTCCAACGCGATTGAGATTTTTCCAGGCTAGTCCACGCTTTGCGCCAAGCAATCTGTACCGCAGAGCGCCGATCTCTCAGCAGATCGGGCAGCATTGCTAGCCATTCGCGAAAAAGACGCAATCTTCCGAACACCATCGGGTCCTGGTGTGCTGAGGGGAAGGTCGCCCGAATCGTGGTCGTCGCGCACCCTCCTTCCTTTCGGCCAACCATTCCACTTATTTGCGCTCGCATCTTCAAAAGCTGTGACGGTGCTATGCCCTGGCCCTCCAGGCCCCAGGCAGCCTGTGGCAGTACACCGCGCCCAGGAGCAAAAAAAAAAAAAAAAAAAAAAAAAGGAAAAAAAAAAAAAAAAAAAAGAAAGAAAAAAAAAAAAAAGAAGAAAAAAAAAAAAAAAAAAAAAAGGAGAAAAAAACAGAAAAAAAAATAAAAAAAACCGAAAAAAAAAAAAAAAAAAAAAAAAAATAATGTAAAAAAAAAAAAAAAACAAGCACAAAAAAAACAAAAAAACAAAAAAAAAAAAAAAAAAAAAAAAAAAAAAAAAAAAAAAAAAAAAAAAAAAAAAAAAAAAACAAAAAAAAAAAAAAAAAAAAAAAAAAAAAAAAAAAAAAAAAAAAAAAAAAAAAAAAAAAAAAAAAAAAAGTGCTGCTGCACGCGATGTCTTGACTACTCGCTTTATCATTTGCCCTCGATCGTTGCTGGCCTGCACTCGCTTTTTTGATGTGCCTACACTCCTGCGGTGCGAGGTGCCATCGATCCCGAGGTCCTTAACACACTGACTGTGCTGCAACTTCACACCGTTTTCCAGAAGCCTGGTCCTGACCGCCGCCGCGACCCTGGGGGGATTCGAAACCACCTTGCTTTTCACCGAAATGGTGAGCCCCAGGGAAGCGCAGCGTTGAACGAAAAATAAAACTGCAGCAATCGTTGCTTCAACTACTGTGTTCTCTTTACCGACGGCAGACTGTGTTATATCATCGATCCAGCTTTGTATCTCGGCTGGCCGATAAGACGCATGCAACTCGCTAAGCATCTGCCATAAAGCTAAACGCGAAATGTCCACACTCTGGGAGCAACCCGCTAGGATGCCTCTGAAAGCTTGCAGAGGATCCGAGACGACCCCATTACCTTGGCACCTTCGGGGCCCGAAGTGGAGGCTGAGGGCGAGGTAGAGGTGGGTGGGAGGATGCCCTACTTGAGCGCCTACCTGCCAAAGTTGCTCAGGGTCCAGCGTGTCATAGAATTTCTCGAAGTCCCACAACACTTCACACCACGAGAAGCCCTGCACAGAGGCGACCTCCAATCTCGTTTGGCGAAGGAGGGCCGCTCTTAAACAACTGGATCCTGCTACCGCTTTGTCCCAGAATTGCACATGCGCTTCTGACCAGTCTGCCACTTGTCTTCTACGAATGCGAGACCACACCCTGTACAGGCCCTGAGTGAGGGTGATTGGCCTATCTGCTTCTGCCGTTTTGTACATCAATTGCACTACATTGACTAGAATCTGCACTGGCCAGCATAGGTTCTGTTCCACGAGGTTGAGGAGGAAGGTGAGGTGGAGGAGACCTTCCTGTGGGAGTTGCCGCCACCATCGAGGGTTGGTGCGATCTGCTCCCATACCTATGACTGGCCGAAAACATTTGAGTCCCTCAATTACCTGATCGCAAACAATGGGGTCCAGGGTGAGGCTGTGCTGCTTGGCTGCTCGGCGGAAAACTTTCCACCAGGCCTGCTCTTGTGGCGGCCCCTTCCCCTTGCCCCAAAAAGACAACCAGAAATCGCTTTTAGCTTTTATATTCTGGAGCGGGTCCGAAAACTGCTGCCCATCGGGTCCGAGGGCTTGGGGCAACTCGCGCTCTGGGGTCCCCCAACACTTGGTGCGCCGATGGACCGCTCCAGCTCCTTTCTTCAAACTGGCCTGAACCCACTCTTTAAAACAGTGGGAGCTCTCATGGAGGAAATGGGACTCAAGGCGAGACACAGCTTTATCGACCTTGTCGGACCAGACCTTCAGCTGCGCCTCGCCAAGACCACCGAGTATGCCCAAATCCCCATGGAGCTTGCTGATTAAAAGCTTGTCAGACTCGTCTTTTAAATCCGCTGGCCGCACACGCAGCTCTTCTACTATAAGTGTTATCGCCTCCACCGCCCCCGAGACTAACCCCGACCCCCTCCCCTTCCTCCTCAGGCCTAGCAGCGCGTGCAAACGCGCCTGCAAGGCTGACCAGTGAGAGAGCGTGTTAGTCTGTGCAAGCCATCCAGTGGGCTTGGTGGCTAGCAGCGGCACGAGGCGAGACTCGGGGTACGAACCCCGAAAACCATCAGAGGCTGCCCGTGCGTCAGGCAACCTCGCCAGCAGCAGGTCCTCCGCCGCCGACGCGAACTCCATGTAGACGTGGTCCACTGAGCCCAGCACCTTCCCCTCTAGCATCGGGTGCTGCATCCCCTGGGCAATCCTGTCCTGGACATTCTGCAGGTGGCGGCTCCACGGGCGGTCGGGGCCCGCCGCCTCCATGATTGGCGCAGGCTGCACCAAGATCCTCTGCATGACCAGCTCAGGGGCACACAGGAGCTCTCCTATGATGCCATAGTGCGGGGCTGCCCACGGGCCCAGCAAGTCCCAGTTCAGTTTGACCAGGCCGCTGATCTTCTCCGAGACTAGGCAGTAGTCGATCACTCTGTGCCCACCTGGCTGCGCCCCCTCAGGCTGGCGCCAAACCCATCGGAGGAAAGTGGGCAAGTTGAGTCCTTCCATCTCACTCTCAGTCATATTCCAATCTGCCATGATGATGAAAGGCAAACCTTTGGCGTGGACGTACGATGCCATGCCGTTTATCGCGTCTATGTTTGGGCCTGCCAGCCCGGCGCCTACTGCCAAGTACATGGATACAAAGAGAACTTCCAATCCTTTTGTGCGGACTGAAATCGATGTCCATTGAGCGGCTGCCTGTCCATAGTGAATCATACCTTTCCAAGCCAATTGTTTCTGAACCTGAAGCCAAACTCCGCCATGGCCTCTGACTCCATGTCCAGCGGTGGCCGCGGCTGGGATGGCCTTCGTGGCCCAGCCTAGCCTGGAAACCTTCTTCTTTGCCTCGTTGAGCTTCTTGCCCGACAAGTGGTGCTCTGCTATTCCAATCACGCGTGCTCTCTTGAGCGGGCTCCCTTCGCGCTTGAGGTAGCTGAGGCCCTTCTCGTTCCAGCTGGTGACGTTGCTGAAATAGAAGGAGAGCGAGGGGTGGTCACCGTCCGCCGTTGCCATCGCCGTACTCGCTCCAGTAGGCGCCGACAAAGGGGCCGATGCACCTGTGCCCTCTGCTCCGCCTGCGCCTGCAGGCAGGGTGAGTCTGGCCGTGGAAGCACACGCAGTCGCACCGCTTCCTGGGCTCTCTGCTCCGCTGGGAGTGAGTGTAGCCGTGATCCTCGATGCTGGGCCGCCTGGAGGCTTCAGGGCCTCGGCCGCCCCTCTCGGGCCGCCTCGCCCCCTCCGCATCATAGGGGCCCCATACAACTACGCCTTCACACTACTGTCGCCGTAGTCGCTTCGCTTGCTCCTGGAACAATGCGACCATAGCTGCAGCTCGTTGGTCTTCAGAAACCTCCGCGCCCCAGCTGGACATGAGCTCACGAACGCGCTTGTTGGTGCCACTTTCGTCGAGAACGTCAGCTGGGGCTCCTCCACCTTCCATGCCAGTATCTCCAGCACGGTCCCCAGCGCCAGGGCCAGCGGCAGCCGCGCCAGCACCAGGAGCGCCACGGACGCCATCTGCTGGGGCCGCGGCCTGATCCTTGAACCCCTTGAGCTTGTCGATGGAGGCCTTGATCGCATCCGCTTCACCTGGCTGAGGGCCTCCATCACTGCCGCCTTCAGGGGGCTGCAGCAGCTTGCCGACGAGGTCTGCGAGCCTGCCGACCTCATCCCAGACGCCTGCTGCGGCCTGCGCTGGCGGTGCCGACGCTGATCCAGCTGCAGCTCGTTGGACTGCTTCGCGACGGGCCTCCTCGAGCTCTGCCTGCGCCTCCTGCAGAGCTGAGTGGGCCTCCATGCACTCCAAGGCTGCCTCCCGAGCGGCCTCCTCTGCGCTGGAGACCCGCTGGGTGGCCTGGAGCACCTTGTGCTGGGCCTTGGAGACCTGGGGCGGCATGTTCTTGACCTCCCGCGGGTCCTGCATGCCCGCCGCTCCCAACTTACGCCGATACACCAGCTTGTCGCGCCGGCTCTGGGACAGGCAGGCGGCGCCGATCTGGAACTCCTTGTCGCCCATGGCGAGCCAGAACTCCGTCTGCTGCTCGTCGAGCTGCGGCTGCGGCACCGCTCCTGCTTGCCCTCCTCCATTTTTTGGGTTGTACGCATCTCTGCCAACTCCTTTGCCGTGTCCTTTGCCGCTGCCACCAGGAAGGCCGAGGTCACGCCATGGCGCCCCGCGGAGGCGCTGCGGGCGGCCCCACTGCCCCTGAGGCGACGGCGGGCGGCCAAAAGCTGGCTCTTGTCCGTTGGGATTGTACCCTCCGCAGTTGAAGCATCGCTGCTTGTTACCACGGTTCCACGCATTGCACTGACGACAGCCCCAGCCCACCATGGCGCACGGTGACTAGGGAGCGGGTCAGCTGAAAACTCCTGGGTCGGAATGATTGCGGGTTGAGGTCGCGAACCTCAGGCCACGAGAACTCGTGGGATCAAATCCTGACAAGCCTCAAACTCTCGAGCGAGGTTGGGAAGTTCAGGAGCAGGCCCCTTGAGCCAAAATGGCTACGGCCTCCTCCTCCTCCTCCTCCTCCTCCTCCTCCTCCTCCTCCCTCCTCCTCCTCCTTCTCTGCGTGAGAGAGAGAGTGAGAAAGAGAGAGAAGCAAAAAAGGAGAGAGAGAGAGAGAGAGAGAGGTCCGAATTCTGCATCGGGTACCTGTGCACGTGTGCGTTCACGCAAGCACATGCTGACGCTGACGGCGCGTCGGCCATCTGTCCTCGACATTCACGACGACGGCTGGTTAAGACAAGGAAGCTGGAGTGGGGACGAAAGGTGCTTCCGAGATGCAGGGGAGCGCATGTACAAATTCACGCCCACCAGAACGAAGTATAGAGCCGACTCCCTCGCAGCAAGCACCGCGGGTTCTGGCTTCCACGGGCTCCGCTGGAGCTGCGGTCATACATGCTTTCTGAGCTCGGACCTCCGTCACTTGCCAACCAGCCGAACCATACTCGAGGATCTCTATCATCGCACTGCCCCTCGGTTGACACTCCTCGGCGGCGCGCAGACGGGGGAAGTGAGCGTGTGCAGGCCTGTTCTCGGGGAACGAACAATGACACCTGCCTGAGGTGCCCCCCCGGGATTCTGTGGGCCCCGAAGTTAACCAACCTCCATGGGGCACCTGCCGTCAGGCCGCCGGTTCTTATCTGACGTGCCCACTGTGCGCATCAGCTCTCGATAGGGGAACGAACAGTGACAATCGTAAACATGAAAACTCGGAGGCCCGCGCGGATTTCTCGGATCGGCACTGGAGCCCCCTGGCAGCGCCTCCGGCGCCGCCCCTGGCGCGCTCCGCGCGCCAAGGAGGGGGTCCAACGCCGATCCGAGAATTCCGCGCGGACATCCAAATTTGTATGTACATGTAATTGTTTGTTTCCCTGTTCTCAGAAGGGGCTGGGACTTCCGAGAAGGCTGAGAAAGCTTCTCAAAGGCCCGAGTCCGTCCGAGCCTTCGGAGATTAGGCTGGGCATGTCCTCCTACAGGCGGATTTTGGAAGAAAATGGAACACGGTCAAAAAGTATTCCAAAGCTGATCAAATACTCAGAAAAATCGTCCCTTTGAGGATTTCTTGGCTACTTTTGAATACTCCTCCTGTAGAGGGACCTGCCCGACTTCATTCTGAGAGGGGCTGCCCCCCTCTGCCTTCCCTCCCAGGCGCGCCGCAGAGCACTGCCTCTCCACAGGGACGGCCTGCCCATTCGCCGTTCGCCGTTCCCCCGGGCGGCGGCCGAGGAGCCTCCATCGGGGCCGTGGGGCTCCTCCTCCTCCTCCCCCAACCTGCTTCTCCCCCTCCTCCTCCTCCTCCTCCTCCTCCTCCTCCTCCTCCTCCTCCTCCTCCTCCTCCCTCCTCCTCCTCCTCCTCCTGCCTCTCCACAGGGGCGGCAACTGCATGCTGCCGCCCACGACGGGCCGGCCTGCAGCCAGGCCGACAGCTTGTTGTAGGAGTCGCGCGACGTGACGTCGTAGAGCACCAGGGCGCCAACGGCCCCACGGTAGTACCTCCGGGTCGGGCGAAAGGGGGGGATAGCAAAGTAGAGGAAAGAGAACTATGCACATACACCGATTCTGGCCAGGCCCATCCTGAGCCCAGGATCGGTGCATACGCCCTCCTACCTCGGCCAGGAAGGCATATGCACCGATCCTGGGTCAAGGATGGGCCTTGCCAGGATCAGTGCATGTGCATAGTTCTCTTCGCCCGACAAAGGGGGGGGGGGGTTGAGAGTCAGCTCACGCAGCTGGTTTTCCCGGCGCCTCCCGGCGCCGGAGGCGGCCATGCATCGAGGAATGGGCCCCTCGGCGAGGCCGAAACCAGCTGCATGCAGCAAATGTCGTAACCCCCCCTTTCCCAAACCCCCCCTTTCGCCCGACCCGATACCTCCGTGCGAAGCGGGCGGGGCCAAGAGGCGCGGACGACGCGCAAGGGCAAAGCGCGATACTGAGCGCATTCCCGACGCTGGAGGCCAAGTTTCGCTCGGAAGAGGCGGGCAGAAAACTTGAAGTAGGAGGGCGTTGAAGGTGGATTGGGTGTACGCCCGCACCCTGAAGATAAAAAGCGAACACCGTTCGACCCTTGAAATACGAAGGCGCCTGAAGTACACTTCCCAAGCAGTACTTGCACCTAGGGGTTTCTTACTTCTCGTCCAAAGAACTGGGCGCTGGTGTCGATCCGCCAACTTGTTGTCGCCGTCGCCGCCTCGTCGCTGCCTCGTCGCCGCTCGTCGTCTGGGCTCTGGAGCCAGGTCCGCCGCCTTGTTGTCGCCGTTGCCGCTCCGTCGCCGCCGCGTCGCCGCCGGGTCCGCCGCCTTGTTGTCGCAGTCGCCGCCCCGTCACCGCCCCATCGCCGCCTCGTCGACTCCCGTCGTCTGGGCCTGGCTGGCGGTCTGGCGTCTATGTTGTCGCCGTCGCCGCCCCGTCCCGTCGCCGCCGCCCCGTTAAACAACATAGATTGCACCACGTCGACTGCATCACGCACCCCATAGATTCTCCTTTCTGAAAGAGAACAGACTCTACCCCCCCCTGGACTTATCGGTACCACTTGGGATAGTATATTTTCATATATATCTATATATATATATATATATATTCTGCACACTCGTCCATCCATAAATATGAAATCATAGCATCCCAGCCAGACCGGGTTCCCCCCCCTGAGGTTCCCTTGTAAAAAAACACTGTGCGGTGACATTTTTTTCTAACATAACACTTGTTCACGAATCCCTTGCAAAAAACGGGACGAAGTGCACACGCGCGCGTCGTCGCGCGCATGCCGAAATCCTTCAGAAACCTTCGGTGCCGGAAGGATTCTGCAATCGAGTTTCCAAAAAACATACAACAACAAATGGTTTCGCAATACTGATTTGCTAAAACAGCTTCCGCGCGAGCTCTTGCGAAATCTTAAGAAAACCATAGGTTTTTCACAAAGTGCCACCAAACGGGCTTCGCGCGCGCGCATGTCGAAATCTGTCGAACGCCCTTGCGCGTGTGCCGTCGCGAGAATCCTCTGCAAAAAATGGGACGAAGTGCAGACGCGCGCGTCGTCGCGGGCGTATGCCGAAAACCTTCAAAACCCATAGTTTTCGGAAGGATTTCAAAATCGTGCGTCCCAAAAAACCTACAAAAACCCAAAGTTTCGCAACACGGATTTTCAACATAAGCGTGCGCGCGCGCTCTTGCGTCGTCGTCGTCGTCGTCGCCGTCCTCCCTCCTCCCGCGTCGTCGTCGTCGTCGTCGCCTACGTGGTCCTCTGTCTTTCCTCGTGTTCGTCGTCGTCGTCCTCTTTGGCGTCGTAGGTCGTTTCCGTCGTCGTTGTCGCCGTGGTCGTCCTTCCTCCTCCTCCCACGTCGTCGTCGTCGTCCGTCGTCCGTCGTCGGCGTCTCGTCGTCGTCCCTCCTATTTCGTCGCCGTCGTCGTCGTCGTTGTCGTCGTCGTCTTCCCTCCTCCCTCGTCGTTGTCGTCGTCGGCGTCGCCGTCCTTCCTCCTTCGTCGTCGCTCGCGTCGTCGCCGTCCTCCCTCCTCCCTCGTCGTTGTCGTCGTTGTCGTCGTTGTCGCCGTCGTCGTCCTTCCTCCTCCCTCGTCGTCGCCTTCGTTGGCGAGGTCGTCGTCGTCGTCTTCGTCGTCGTCGGCGTCGGCGTTGTTGTCGTCGTCGAAGTCGTCGGAGATGTCGTCGGTGTCGTCCTAGTCGTTGTCGTCGGTGTCGTCGTAGTCGGTCTTAACAGGTTTTGCAAACCAAGTTGCGGGTGGGTGGGTGGGATGTTTGCGCGAGCAGTGGAGATGACGACTTGAAGTTCAGCAGAGTGGATTGCACCACCTAGATTGCACAACATAGATTGCACATCATATGTTAGCCAGCGTGGACCCAAATCGTGTGTTTCTAGCGATACTTGTTATACAAACTATGTGGAGACATATCTGTGTTGCAATATATGTGGTGCAATTTATTTTAACCAACGAATTGACACATCCCTCGCTCTTGCAAACATCCAACCCACCCACCCGCAACTTGGCTTGCAAAACCCACGACGACGACGATGACGACGCCGACGACGACGACAACGAAGACACCGACGACGACGACGTCAACGACGCCGGCGACGACGACGACGACGACGACGACGACGACGACGACGGCGGCGACGACGACGACGCCGACGTCGGCGACGACGAAAAACGACGACGACGACGCCGACGCCGACGACGAAGACGACGACGACGTCGCCAACGAAGACGACGACGAGGGAGGAGGGAGGACGACGACGGCGACAACGACGACAACGATGACAACGACGAGGGAGGAGGGAGGACGGCGACGACGCGAACGACGAAGAAGGAGGAAGGACGGCGACGCCGACGACGACAACGACGAGGGAGGGGGGAAAACGACGACGACAACGACGAGGACGACGACGACGACGGCGCGATAGGAGGGACGACGACGAGACGCCGACGACGGACGACGGACGACGACGACGACGAGGGAGGAGGAGGAAGGACGACCACGGCGACAACGACGACGGAAACGACCACGACGCCAAAGAGGACGACGACGACGAACACGAGGAAAGACAGAGGACCACGTAGGCGACGACGACGACGACGACGCGGGAGGAGGGAGGACGGCGACGACGACGACGACGACGACGCAAGAGAGCGCGCGCACGCTTATGTTGAAAATCCGTGTTGCGAAACCTTTGGTTTTTGTAGGTTTTTTGGACACGCGATTTTGAAATCCTTCCGAAACCGATGGGCTTTGAAGGTTTCCGGCATACGCGCGCGACGACGCGCGCGTCTGCACTTCGTCTCATTTTTTGCAGAGGATTCTCGCGACGGCACACGCGCAAGGGCGTTCGACAGATTTCGACATGCGCGCGCGAAGCCCGTTTGGTAGCTTTTTGTGAAAATCTTGGAAAATCCAAGAGCTCGCGCGGAAGTTTTTTTAACAAATCAGCGTTGTGAAACCCTGTGTTTTTATGTATTCTGATAGTTTAAATTCATATTTAGGATGGACATGTGGTCAGAATTGTATATGATTTACATACCCGAAAAGGTGAACCGATAACGCCGGGGGGGTAGATCCTATTCTGTTTTTAGAAAGGAGAATATATGCGGTGCCATATACATGGTGCAATACATGCGGCACGATCTACACTGTGCAAATCTATGTGATACTATATATATATGTGCTGTGCGACCTACGTTGTGCAATAGATGCGGTGCCGCTTATGTTGAGCAAGATGTGGTGCGTGATCTATGTTGTGCAGTATATGCTGTGCAATATATGGTGTAGTCTGTGTGACGTGCAATCGGCGCGGTGCAGTCTGTGCGAAGCCGCGACGAGGCGGCGGCGGGGCGGCGGCCGCGACAACAAAGCCGCCAGGCCGACAATCAGGCCCACACGACGGGCGGCAACGAAGCGGCGACGGGGCGGCGACGCCGACAACAAAGCCGCCAGACCGACACACTGGCCCACACGACGGGCGGCGACAGGGCGGCGACGGGGAGGCGAAGGCGACAACGTAGCCGCCAGACAGACATGCAGGTCCAGTTCTTCAGGGAAAAAAGAAAACTAATTGCAAGCACTGTTTGGGGAAGATTGCGCAACATAGATTGCACCGCATGGATTCTCTTTTCTAAGAAGAGAATAGACTCTCCCCCCCCAGACTTATCGCCTTCCCCTGGGATAGTATAATTTCATATATATATATATATATATATATAATATATATTATATTATATTACATATATATATATTATGCCCACTCGTCCGCATCCTACCTGTGAATTCATACTATCCCAGCCAGGCCGCGGTTCCCCCCCCCTGAGGTTCCCTGTTAAAAATCACTGTGCGGTGACATTTTTTGTTCTAACATCGCTTTTTTCACGAATCCCTTGCAAAAAATATGTGACGACATGCACACGCGCGCGTCGTCGCGCGCGCATGCCGAAATCCTTCAAAAACCTTCGGTGCCGGAAGGATTTCGCTATCGAGTTTCTAGGACACATACAAAAACACATGGTTTTGCAACACTGAGTTGCTAAAACAGCTTCCGCGCGAGCTCTTGCGAAACCTTTTTCATATAAAAAACGTAAGTTTTTCAAGATTTTCACATACTGCTACCAAACGGGCTTCGCGCGCGCGCATGTCGAAATCTGTCGAACGCCCTTGCGCGCGTGCCGTCGCGAGAATCCTTTTGCAAAAAAGAAAAAAAAAAAAAAAAAAAAAAAAAAAAAAAAAAAAAAAAAAAAAAAAAAAAAAAAAAAAAAAAAAAAAAACGAAGTGCAGACGCGCGCGTCGTCGCGGGCATATGCCGAAAACCTTCAAAACCCATAGGTTTCGGAAGGATGTCAAAATCGTGCGTCCAAAAAACATACAAAAACCAAGGTTTCGCAACACGGATTTTCAACGAAAGCGTGCGCGCGCGGTCTTGCGTCGTCGTCGTCGTCGCCGTCCTCCCTCCTCCCGCGTCGTCGTCGTCGTCGTCGCCTACGTCGTCCTCGGTCTT